GTAGGACAGCGTGGCTTGCAAAATCTAAACGCTTTTACGTTTGCATAACTGTTATCGCTTACTTTCCACCTCCATTCACGTCCTGGAACAAAGCAGCGGGTTTGCCCGCAGCCTCGTGAAACGTGAGCTCTTTAGTACAGATAATCCGAGGAGTGTCATCCACTTCCTTACACAGGTGGGAGCACTCAGCACCCAGCAGCGCCCGGCTATCCGCTGCTTCTCCGTACAGCATTCAGGAGTTCTGCCACTGCTGGATGTCGTGCTCCTCTAACCATTGCCATTACCCCATTTTCCGTCCTTCCTACTCAACCGATGTGATTGACTTGAACTAATTTGAGGAATGTGGCCATGAGATGTGAAAAAAGGGAAAACTGGGGAAGAAGCAGTGAGAAGACCCGCACTGGAAGACTTACAGTCCAAGATGGAGAGGCTGAGATCTTCTGGAAGGGTGACCTGCTCTGACGAGACAGCCTCCAAAAAGCCAGCAGCTTCTCTGGATGAGGATTCTGACGCGGCTCCTGCCCCTCCATCTTCCACATGGCGCACCCCGTCCCTCTGTATTTCTCCGGTCCCCGCGTACGACCCCTCCTTACATTCATTCCTCCAGGAAAAAGCGCTTCGCTCTTCGCCGCACCAGGTCACCACCACACCTCAACAGGCAGCACATCACGGCCACACACGCCCCGGCCTCTACGCCTCCCGCTCTCGGACTATCAGTCATTTCAGGAACCGGCTAGCAGTTATCCTTGCTGGCAGTCAAATCCTCTACGGAGGCGCTCATTCTCCCTCGTTTTCCCCAAGGAAAGCCTTGACCTCATCACCCTACAGGTGGCCGTTGGGGTGATGAAGGGAGTCGCTCTCTTCCAAGAGAGAACGCAGAACTCTTTAGGGAGAAGGGACACAGAGTTACCCTAAAATACTGTGGAATACTGTGTCCAGTTTGGGGGTCCCCAGTTCAAGAGGGACAGGGAACTGCTGGAGAGAGTCCAGCGAAGGGCAACCAAGATGATGGAGGGACTGGAGCATCTCCCGTATGAGGAAAGGCTGAGAGCGCTGGGACTCTTTAGCCTGGAGAAGAGAAGGCTGAGGGGAGACCTTATTACTGCTTACAAATATCTAAAGGGGGGTTGGAGGAGGATGGAGCCAGACTCTTCTCGGTGGTTCCCAGTGACAGGACGAGGGGCAGTGGGCACAAGTTGGAACAGAGGAAGTTCCGTCCAACAGACGGAAGAACTTCTTTAGGGTTGGGGTGACAGAGCAGTGGCACAGGCTGCCCAGGGAGGGGGTGGAGTCCCTTCTCTGGAGGTTTCCCAAACCCGCCTGGATGCAGTCCTGAGGGATGTGCTCTGGGCAGTCCTGCTTTAGCAGGGGAGTGGGGTGGGTGAGCTCTGGAGGTCCCTTCCAGCTCTGAAAATTCTGTGGTTCTGTGTGAAAAGCTCTTCAGTTCTCTGCTTATCGCACAGCCTCTGCTGCAAACTGCCTCGGAGCCCCAGTCCACCCTGTCGTCCCTCTGCAGTTAAGCACGACTATGACTTAACTCACGGTTTATCTTCTTTGTACCTCGCACCGCCCTCTCCTTGCGCGTCCATTTTCTACGCTTCAGACCAAAAGACGGCATTTCCTCGGCAGGGTAGTTACGATGTTTTAATACGTAAAGCCGTCAGCTGACCGAGGCACTTGACAGAGGCCAGCTCCCCCGTTCGTGCCACAAGGAAAACCAAGCCCCCAGCAGCAGACGACGAGAGCGTGGAGCAGAGAACGCGCTCTGCAGGATGACAAACACCCGCCTGCTGCTTCTAATCGTCTTTGAGCCAAAAGGCTGGAGAACCGGACAACATCAGCGACTGCTCCGCAACACCACGTCTCCGCTCAGCTCTCCCGGCACGGTCTAACGCGCCAGGTCGTTCGAACAGCAGAGAACGCCTGTCTGGAATAAGCTCTGCGAAGCCTGAGCGAGACAAGCGCGCAGGAGCTCAGCCCTTACCGCACCGCCGGCCCTTCGCTGCCTTTACGTTGTTATACCGAGACCCTGGGAGAGAGTTTAAAGCTCTATCAGAAAAGTCTATCGCACCGGCCTGCCCTGTCTCGACCGCCGAGCTGTGCGGAGCAGAGGGGACAGCACCGCCTGGGGAGGGGGACGAGGGACGAACAGGGTGTTCGGCGGCCGGCGCTGCCCTCTCCCGGGTGCAGCCCACCGTGCTCAGCTGAACGTCACACTCCTGCCCTGCCAAGGCTGAATTTGGGCCTTACCCCTTGCGGGTGGCATCAGCATAGAGCCCTTAAGGCAACCCTGTTGGTGCCTCCTCCGCCAGCTCCGCAGCAGCCGCGGAGCTCCCGGGCTTGTTGTAAAGCAGAGGGGGAAGCTGCCTGCAGCAGGGAGAGAATCACAGAACGGTTTGGGTTGGAAGGGGCTTTAAAAATCATCTAGTTCCAACCCCCCTGCCATGGGCAGGGACATCTCCCGCTAGACTTTCCAACCTGTTTTCCCCGTCTCGTGCCCGGCAGCGAAGGCAGATATCGGGCAGAGGCAGGCAGGGAGCTCTGCCGGGGAGGAGGCAGCCCCCCAGGGAGAAGGACTGGAAGGAAAGAGCACAGGAACAAAGGGAGAGGACGTGCAGCGCCTGTGTGCAGCCACCAGCCCTCTCCGAATCGACGGGGTGGGGGGAGGCACAGAGCATCCCTTTTGCTGCTCTGCCTGACCAGGCTCACAAATCACCCAGACATCCCTAAGCAGCAGCTTCCTGCAATTACAAGCAGCAGAACACATGTGCCAATTAGACGCGCACCAATATCCTTTTCGGCCCTTGATCTAGGCCAGATCTCAGCCCCGGGGTGCGGCAGAGCCAGGCTGCTTCCTCTGAGGGGATGGGGACGGGAAGGAGCATCCCCCCGGCCACGGTCCAGGAGGGCTCTCCTCCCCTGCCGCAGCGACGGCGGCTCCCAGCGCCAAGCTCCCTGCATGCCTGCACCGGGGGGGGGAGATCTCAGCCAGAGAGAAACGCAGGAGAGCAGCGACGTCTGCTCCTGTCCCATCCCAGCTGGAAAAATCTTAATCCCAGACTCCCAGACTGGTGAGGGCTGGAAGGGCCCTCTGGAGCTCCCCCATCCCACCCCCCGCCAGAGCAGGGGCACCTCCAGCAGTGGCACAGGACGGCGTCCAGGCGGGTTTGGGATGGCTCCAGAGGGGGAGACTCCCCCACCTCTCTGGGCAGCCTCTGCCACTGCTCTGCCGCCCTCACAGCAGAGAAGGCCCTCCTCAGGTGGAGATGGAACTGCCCATGGTCACCTTTGTGCCCGGTCCCTCTTGTCCTCTCACTGGGCACCACTGGAACCAGACTGTCCCCATCCCCCGGCACCTCCCTTGAAGGACTGATCAGCGTTGAGGAGATCCCCCTCAGTCTTCTCCTCTCCAGACTGAACAGCCCCACGTCCCTCAGCCTTTCCTCAGCAGAGAGATGCTCCACTCCCCTCAGCATCTCCGTCGCCCTAAATTCTATACCGGTTGAGAGAAGCGCTTGGGCCTTGGGAGACCTCATCACCGCTGGGATATTGAGCGAGACCAGGCAGGACGGCCGAGCTCTGCTGGGCGAGCAGCTCCGCCTGGCCCTCAGACACTTCTCTTCACCCTCTGTTTCCATCAGGAGGCTTGCTTCCCCCGCGCAGCTCCACACCAAGTCCCTGGCGCTCGCTGCAGATGAGGGCAGAGCTGGCCTGCCAGCAGATATATTTTGTGAACGCAGCACTGCTGCCCACAAACCATCCTGGGGCACCACTCGAGCCCACCCAAGTCCCTCCCGAGAGCTACAGCCGCAGGAGGACGGGGTGGGCAGAGAGCAGACGTGCCTCTTGAGGACCTGTCAGACGCTGGGCCTGAGAAACACGCTTGTTTGTTAACACCCCAGGGAACTGAACGCGGCTAGACAGCTCCCGAACGATGCCACGGCACAACGCCAACAGAGGAAGGCAGGGACAACGGCAACAAGAGTGCTGGAGACCCGTTGTCTCCAGGACAGGAGCACAGGGACAGCCCTGGAGATGCTCCGCTCCCCAGCGGGCACATGCTCGGTCACCCAACCAGCCACTTCCCCGACGGGTCAGGAGGACCTGAGCTCTCTCCTGAGCTCCCTGAGGGACACAAGCCCCCGTCTGGGCTGGAGAGCTGCTGGCTCGGGCTGAGGAGCCTGTAAGGGCTGTTTGTTCAGAGAGACCCCCGCAAACGAGTCTCTGCGGCTTCTGGCCTGGAGGGGTTCGTCCACACCACGCTGCGCTTCCTCACGCTTTCATAGAATCACAGAACGGTTTGGGTGGGAAGGGACCGTAAAGATCATCTCGTTCCAACCCCCTGCCCTGGGCAGGGCCACCTCCCCCCAGCCCAGGTTGCCCCAAGCCCCGTCCAAC